TCGTCTAGTGGCGTCGGTGGAGCCGTCCATTTGTGCCGGTGCAGTCGTCTAGAGCGGTGCTAGTGACTTAGTCATCTACAGAATATCGCCGCTACCTTTATCGACGCAGTAAGTAAGCTAGTGCTAAATTTGACATTGCATATATGGTGTTTGTTAAAATGCTTGATAGTAAATTCTCTCCCCTTCTCTTGTGAGGTTATCTAGTGTCTCTAGTGTGGTGATATTCAGGCTTATTATTGAAGCTAGACCTGTTCTCTTGGTGTGATACTTGTTTGTGATTTTTAGGGGGGACTTGTTTTTAGTTTATGTAGATATTGGGTGGGGAAGATTACTGGTAATAGGCTCTTTTTAGTCATGGATGCAATTATCCTTTGCTTGGTAGGTCATGTCTGCTTATCTCAACATCCAATACTTGTTTTATCAGTGGAGTATTGGAGTAATCTAATGAACAGGTCCGATAAATAAAAAAACAAAATCACATGTCTGTGGCAGTAAACTAGGTTATTGCAAATTGAGTCAGTGCCAAGAACAGCTAGTTCATTTTCTGGCCCAGCAGTTTGAATCACCGAGCTTTGCTGCTTTGAGCAATTTGACAGCCACATTCCTCAACTCTGAAACCATGCTTAATCTATGGTGCCAAAAAATATTTGGCAACCCAGTCTCCCTTTATAGTATAGGCTGAACACAGGTTAGCGGCGTCCACCTATCTAGGGCTTATAAGATACATTTTTTCTTTTCAATCTTCTCCATATTTATAAATTTTGGGCTCGAAATTTATTGATTCATTGACCATCGTATTGTGGAATTTGTCAATTTATGAATAGCATCTTTATTTTTTGCATTTTTTCGTCCTTCAAACTGTCAATTTTTTAAAGCAGAAGCATTTTTTTTTATTCTTTGAGTAGATTGTATTGTTATCCCATTTTATTGTGTTTCTTTTCATTCCTCATTTCAAGATCAGGATTCTTCCATTTGACAAAGCCATTTTTTGTTGTGCTTATATTTCATTTGCTTAGTATTACTTTTGCAGGTTATATTTTTTTGTTCAAGAATGCTTTGACAGTGACATCAAAACAGGTAACAGCCTCAGTGTCCTCCAATCTTAATGAGGCATTAAAATCACTTACTCTTTTGACTAAATTTACAGAGGGTATGTATATCCATATATCTGATTTGAATTTTTTATGTTGTCCATCCCAACTTATTAAGTATATAAAATTATAGTTAAATTTTTACTATTACTGATTTGATGTATGTTTATCTTTATTGCGTGGCTAACAAGAAATTCCAGCACATTCTTTTGATATTCTTGTGTCCGGTCTACTTAAATGTGTTTAATAGTTGAATGCGTTTGCAAGATATTCTTCAAGTCTTGTGTCATTGGCAGAAAATGACACCATCTGGTCCAATAAAACATTAAAAAGGTACATAAAAAATATTATTGCATGCATTTTCTTGTGCAGAGTTCAAAGATGATGTGGAAAGCATTTCAAATAGAAGTTCCTCACACCCCTAAATCACTTAAATTAGCTTGTTAGTCTTATTTAATACGTAGCATATTTTAGTTAATTGATAGATCTATGATGCTATGTTCATAACTAAATTTACAAAAGTACTCATTTTTACAAATTCGATTTGATTTTTCTATGATCTGTTATGAATATAATGTCAGTGTAGTTTATTGGCTGGGTGTGATTCAATGATTTTATCTGTTAAAAATAGACACGAAGCAATTGAATGCTGTGAAGGAGGCACTGCACGTATCTACTGCTCTATCAAACATAGTTTGTCGAGATGTCAAGCAAAATAGGGTTTTGTTGTCTTGCAAGCAATGTGTTAAGCATCAAAAGGCTGGCAGATTGTATGTTTGTAGATGTCCAGGAACTAGAAGTCACTCTCAATGGAAAAGGTCCAAGCAGAATTAATTGAATAGGCTAAGAAGGTAACGCACTAACATGGTACTAATGCATTTAATGATGTTGGCAATTTCAATTTTCTGCTTGCAGGAACCTTAAACAGCCGGGCTGGTTTGTCGGGGAACTAGTTTTGGTAATTCTGTTAGTGTATGTAGGTAATTTGCTTCTGGATCAATAACTCATCATATAAAATTACATTTTCTTGGATAAAACAGAATTTGATGCAAATTATCATTGATCTATTAGTACTTTGCTCAGACTACCATTCAAAATTAAACCCTGGAAAACATATTGATTTCATTCAAGAGGATGTTCAACAACTAGATGTATTGTCCATCAACTGTACTTCTCTGACAAAGACTTCAAAAATTTTCAACAAGGTTTGTTAATTGAAGATCATTTGGACGCAGGCTGGTGCAAACACAATTTTTCTTACATTCTACTTATACAAGTTACTTGAAAGGGTTCAACCTCAGAAGATGCTTAGTGGCACAACAGCTTCTTCAGAAATTGATCTCAGTGAAGCAGCAGCAAGCTGACAGAGCCATTAATCCCCATGATGTAAGGCGAAATCTTGTATTCTCGTACTCTAGTATTTTCTATTTGGTATTCTTGAAACTCGTGAAAATTTTACTCCATGTAGTATTTCATCTTTAATAATAATGGATTAATTGTGATTTGGTAATAGGTTAATAGTAGCTGATGAATTGGATTATTTAATCTCCAAAGACCGAGTTGTACTTCATGGTCTCTTTGTGTTAACAAGATTTCTTTTCTCTCGTTGTATTAGATTTGGTATGGAAATGTTCCTTTTTGTATTTCATCTGAATATGTGATTGTTTCTAGTTTTGATGCTGAGAGTATTGAGTGGAGTTTTCCAGGACTGGCCACTATTTGGCCTCACCTTATCAGGAATCACTAATTCTATTGACATTGCTGATAGATTCCTTCCCAAACTTCAGGCTTTGAACGGTAAGTAAATACTTTTGAGTAATATTTATTATTTTGAGCTTCAATATTTTATTAAATCACGAGATATGATGATATACATTCCATAATAATAAATAAATAAATAAATAAATAAAATGTCACAGTGAAGTGCTAATATATGTCCTGCCATTTTTTCCCAAGCAAGCCGATGGTTATAACATTTCGCGCCAACTCCAACACCAGATCATCATGATTCTTCAACAAAGATTAGTAGCAACTACCATATAATTCTTTTCCTTGTCCCAATTCAATTTTAATATATATGGCGGATTATTTACATTCAATAAAATTTGCTTCATGTAATCTTATCATTTTTTAAATTTGTAGAGATTTTTCAGTCCGAAACTATTCTCTTCTGAGGAGATTGATCAAACACGAACTGGCTATGTATTACTGTACCTAGAAACGGTGCTTTCCTTCAAAGGCGTGGCATGAACTTTTTCCACTTGTTCATATTTTGTATTTATGCCTTTTAGTATGTATTTCAATGTATTGATACGTTTATAGTCAAGAATATTGCAACTTTTGATTTGTAGACTATTTAAGTGGCTGACGTAAATTCTGCACTTGTAGTTTATTGAAACTTTTGTAAACTTATTACAATTATTGGGAAAATGTGTGTTAAAAATATGTGATGTGTACATATATGATTATATTTAGTTTATAGCAACTTTAAATTTATTGAAAGACCAGTGATTTATTGCTTATAAATGAAACAAATGTACAGTTGTACATAATGTGATAACAGAAAATATAAACCTCAAGGTCTTTAATAAATTTCAACATTTGACATCGGTTACTACTAAAAATGATGTCACATCTCTTTTACATCGGTCAAAACCAATGTTGTATGTCATGTGTGACGATAGTTTTATGCCTTTTCTAAATCGGTTATAGCTTAACCGATGTGAAATCTTTAACATCGGTCAAAACCGATGTCATACGCTTCGGAGTGACAGTTTTAATGCATTTTCTAAATCGGTTATAGGAACAACCGATGCCAAAAAGATTTGACATCGGTTATAACAACTGATGTGAAAAGTAAAACTTTTCACATCCCCTGAATCTACATTGGTTGTATAACCGATGTTAAATGCCCTTTTTAACCCATGTGAAAATCCAATTTTGTACTAGTGAAGACATTTTCACTGAGTATCAACTTGAAATTATAAGCACAAGTGATTTTCATTATGTGATTGTGATGAGCACCGAGTTTGTTTTTTTGAGTAATAAGGGTCTAACAATGAGCATCAGTGATTTCTGCTTCATATCTTCTAATTCAACATCTGAATCCAATGTAGTATGATACGTTTGAAATGTGAAACATTTTTAAATGAGCATTAAACAATAACAAATGAGCATATGTAACTTACAAAATGAGTATCCGAAAATTCAAAAGCTCATTTGTGAATGCTCATTCATTTTGGCGTTATACTCATTTGAGATTAACATAAAATTCATTTTCAATGTGTTCAATAATAATTTGTTGAGTTCATTTCTTTTAGGCGTATACTCATTTGAGTTTAATATAAAACTCATTTTCGATGTGTTCAATATTATTTTGTGTGAGTTCATTTCTTTTAGGTTATACTCATTTGAGTTTAAAATTAAACTCATTTTTATAATATTACTAAGAACGTAGTAACATATTTTTTATAAAAAAATTGTGGCAGAATATAGGAGTTCAGAAATTAGCAAGAGGGGAAAATAGGGATGTGAAAATCGGAATCGCAGAGTTAAAGTAGCCTCTTCATCGGCCAAGCATCTTAGCCGTCTCTGCTTCTATCGATCGGTATCTGCCAGTCCGAAGTTGGGACACTTGGAAGCTTGGCTATCGGCGTTCTGCGTTCGCGAGTTGCAGCCGACTTTCTATCCGCCGTCCTTCGTCGTCTTCATCGCTGAGTTGCCTGGTTGAATCGCAGATTTAATTACAAAAAACACTCGGCTGTAAGTTGAGCACCGTGCAGCGGGCGGTGTAATTTACCGCAAAAAGACCGCCATTATTGTATTGTTCCAAGGCTTAACTTTCTAAGATTAAAAGAAAAGCTAATAACTCAAGAAATAGCAGGTCTAATCTTGTTGTTTTACATACTTCGATAAAAAAGACAACGCATGTTCCAGATATACCTACCAGTCATAGACAGGCAGAATGAAATTTTACTTCCGTACTATAATTTCCTTTCTGAGCTTTTATTACTTGAATTAAATACTCCGTAATTAAAATTGAGTTTTAACGGTTAACCCATAAAAATCGGTTCTTTTTCCACAGCAAGATGTCGCCAAGTAAACATAACCCAATTTCTTCTTCACCCTCATCTTCCATGTCGATTTCTGGCATCCATGGTCAACTCCTCGAAGTAACCGGTAATTTCCGACTCCTTTTGTCCCTGGAGGATATATACCGGTTTCAATTTCTGAAATGGTTATAAATTGCAGTTGTTTCTTGCCAAAAGCTGAAGGACACCGAATGGATCTCCAGGCAAGATCCATATGTCTGTCTCGAATATGGTGCCACCAAATTCCGGACGCGAACGTGTACAGGTATTCCATCCTTTCATTCTTGTGGTTTCAAATTTCTCGGATCCGCCCTGGATTAATGTGGATTTCTTTGTTTTTGGTTGTGTAGATGGAGGGAAGAATCCAACGTTTCAAGAAAAATTTGTGTTTTCATTGATTGAGGGTTTAAGAGAGCTGAATGTTGTTGTCTGGAATAGCAATACCATCACTTACGATGATTTCATTGGCAGTGGAAAGTAATGAATCCCCAAATCTTCTTATGTTTTTGTAAATTTGTTTCAGTTCTTGTTGGTCTGTGATTTTTAGGCTTTGTTTGAGGGTATTTATAAGAGTATAAGTGAAAGCTAAACCTTGTTTTAGGGTTGTACTTCATAAAGTTCTCTGTGAAGGGTATGATGATATCTCATGGCCACTCCAAACAAAGACTGGAAGGTGAATTGCTCTAAGCCTAAAAACTTTTTGTAGTCTCTATCACAAAATTCATGTCGTCGTGCTTTCATGATTTATGTTCTTGTACGAACACTTAATGCATCTAGAGTCATGGTAAGTTGGTAACCATGTCCCAGAAAATGTTATTTGTCTACAATATCTTATAATGATGAAAACTGGCTTGGGTTAGACATTGCAAAATGCATAAAGAAGTAGTTGATTCAAACCAGTAACATATGAAATGAACTTGTGTTCATGTTGTGGGTTATGGTCTCACGAAAGTAACCTCTCTACTTCTAGGGTAGAGGTAAGGCCTGCTTATAGCTTACCCTCCCCAGATCCTAATTCTGACTTAGATTTACTGTGTATGCTTGTGTGGATAGGTTTGGTTACAACTTACAAGGACCATATAGGCAACTCTTAAGAGATATTTATCATTCTATCCCACAGAATGACTTTTCAGTTTTCATGAAGGATCAAAGTATAAATGGGGGCTAATGCTGGAAAACAGTGTAATTGGAGGACTTAAAGTATAATTTTCTCTCATTATATTCTGTTTTGCTCTCCGCTTGGATAGTGTGACTGTGTGATGTTTAAACCTAGGTATTCAGTTTGCTTATTCAAATGGAGATTTATGACTTGGAAAGTCAAATTTTTTCATCCTTTTCAACGAGTAATGTGTACTGGTATCTTTATGAACTAAAATAAAAAATTGGTAAATTATTGTTTCTTTTATGCTTCAAACAGAAATGCAGGAGAAATTCGCCTGATAATGCACTATGCAAATGCTAAGGTAAGTGATCCTTCATGTTTTTCGTTATGTGAGAGTTATGTTTTTTATCCTTCCTCTTGTAACTTTTGACTTGCTAATTATTTCAGAAGCAGCCCACATGCCACGCTCCATCTGCTCCTCCCTATATTGCATCTCCATTCTCACCCCCACTCCCGCCTCCCATTGCCTCTTACCCAACACCCTCTTCTTATCATACACAGTCTCCTGCCCCTTATTCTCCATACGCCCCACCTCCGGGAGCCTATCCTCCGACTCCTCAACAATCTGCTTATCCACATCCTTATGGTGCACCGCCACCTTCGGCATATCCTCCCCCAATGTACCCGCCACCAGCTTATAATTCATTACATTATCCTCCCCAAGGTACCTACCTATCCATATATTGCCATCAGTTTTTGAAGTTTGATTATTAGCTTGTGGTTCTCACTGGTTAATATTTTGCACCTTTGTTATAGGTCATTATCCCGGTCCTCCTGGAAGCTATCCTCCCCCACACTACTAAAGACAAAGGTCCTTTTGAATTCTTGAACCATGTGAATGTACAAATTTTCCTAATATGTTTGTTAGTTTGTATCTGGGTTACAGTGAGTGATTGGTTACATTCGTTTAACTTCTCAACTGCTTGGGGTTACATATTTAGTAGTGAGTCGTCTGAGTAGTTGTACATGTGTGTTTGATGATGACTTACTGTTTTTACTTCTCAAATCTCAAGTGCTTTTAATTTATGAATATTATCAGAACTTTCTCAGTTTGACAGTATCAACTGTATCGTGATACGTCAAACACCTTATGATTCGATGACATTACTGTGACACTCCAAAGGAGATCACGAATTTGAAACTCATCCCAATCAAGGATTTTGATCTTTAATAAAACATATACTATAATACGCGAGAAAGTACATAATACGCGTGAACATGGGTCTCTTACTATAAATAATGGCATACGCTTCTCCACTGGGCAAGACCTTATGTTAAGACCTCTCAAAGGAGCAAATGGAAACACGAACCTAGGTCACGGGCCTTATTGATTAGAGAGTAATGCTACTATGCTAGAGACATCATGGAAGGTTTCTTGGTCTATGTCTCTCCTTTTTTAAATAACAGAGTGTCTCGGACTTCTGGGCAGAATAATTCCTTGGATATTATCTACAGTGGCGGAGCCAAAGATTTTTCGAAGGGGAGCGTACCGAAGGCTAATATTTATGGTGTATTTTCTCAAAATATAAAAACAATAAAAATGTCATACATTAGCATAAATTAGTCGTTACATTCTACTTGACTCATATCTATAATTTGCTAGGTGAATAAATCGTACTGAGTATTAATATGTTCAAAATTTTTCATAAGAAAATGAGCTCATAGGACTCTTGCATGTACACTCATCTACACACTCAAAACTCAAAGGTTCTCATAGAAATGAGCAATTTTACCCCTATCTATACTAATCTCATCAAATCTTGTTTAGAATTTTTTTATACGCCATTGTGCATCTAAATTCTTTCAAGAAGTGTCCACAAGCTTCTCTAATCTAATGGAAGGATCTAGAGAACTCCACAATCACTACAAAAAAACACGCCTGTAGTCACGGACTTAGTCACGGACAGCAGTTCAATTTTTCCGTGACTAACAGATGTAGTCACGGTCGCTGGCCGTGACTAAATCCGTGACTTAATGGGCGTGACTAAATTGAAGTCACGTCCAACAAACCGTGACTAAATTTAGTCACGGAATAGTCACGGCCGCCGACCGTGACTATTATACTAGCCGGAACCCCACTCCGGCGTATTAGTCACGGTCAGAAGCCGTGACTAAGATTTTTTTAAAATTAATATTAGTAGTCACGGCTTTGGACCGTGACTAATCTTTCTAATTTTCAAAATTTTTAAAAGACCGCCCGCGGCGGTAATTTAAATTTTTGAAATTAGTCACGGGTGTCGACCGTGACTAATTGGTTTTTTTGGAAAAAAAATTATGTTTTTTATTTAAAAAAATAATAATTTCGGATTAATTATAGTCACGGATAAGGTCGTGACTACTTTTTTTGTTTTTTTAAAAAAAAAAATTCCAGTTTTCGTTTTTTTTTTTAAAATGTTTTTAAAAATTACTTTTTTAAACACGGATGTTTACAAATTAAATTTAAAAATGTTTTTTGAAAAATGAGTTATTGAAAATATTATACTATTTTTTTTTTAAAATAAATACATTTTAAGAGTAAAGACATACAACAAATTCAATAAATATTGTGACAAACTTTTAAATGTTTTGAAATACAACAAATAATAAATGTATGATGATTACATGTCCCGTGGGACTCCATTATGATAAAAATTGGGATTTTCTTCTTCTTCTTCTTCTTCTTCTTCATCATCATCAACAAGAAACTCATCTGGGTTCACGGGGGGGTCTTCGGGGTCAGGTCGGGTTCCTCCTCGGGGTGCTCCTCGGGGTCCTCCCCGGGGTCCATGGCTCGGTGGACCACTACCTCCTCCGGATGACCTCGCAAAGTCAAAGGACATAGATCCGAAATTCGGCGAAATCATAGGCATGCCACCGTATCCGGAGTTGGGGAAAAATCCCATACCGCCCATGTGCGGAACTTGAGGAGTTTGCTCAGGGTGGAATACGTACGGGGGAGGAAAAGGCTGTTGCGGAGGCTGGAATCCGGCACGCATGTACCGTTCCATCTCCTCCAACCGGGCTTTTGTGGCCTCATCTGCTTTCCGCTGCTCCTCCCATCGCCGTTCGTGCTCCTCCAGTTCACGCTGCATTGTAGCAATACGGGGATCTTCTCCCCGCCTTGACCGAGAAGAGGAAGCGCCGGTGCTTCAATCATACAAAATCCGTTGCCCCTCGGCCCCCAAGCACGGAACCCGGCCCTTGTAAACCCCGGCCGCCTCAATGGCCGCCTCATCATCCGCATCGGAATCGAGGTCGTCCTCCTGGGTCAAGCCTCGTGCCGCACGCTGCCTGTCAACGGATTCGTTGTACTTCGTCTGCATTTTCAAAAATATTTTTTAAATGCTACATACTTAGATTTGAAATGTTACTAAATAACAAAATATGATGTTACATACTTCGAAGTCAACGAGGCGGGGTGGCAAATCGGCTTCAGATTCCTCGCCATGCTTCGTCCAGCAATGCTTGACGAGCCGGAGAACATCAACCCTCTTCTTCTCAGGACCAGCCTAAATGGTGTGAAAAAGACTTAAGTAAATTTTTTATAATGAAGGATTGTGATGTTGTAAGGTTTTTTGAATAGCACTTACAAGAGTTTCTTTATGGGCATTCTGAGATTTACGACCTCCGTGCCACTGCATCTCCAAGGCCTTCTCGGACATCCGGTTTTTCTTACCGGATTCACTTCTAGCCAAGAATTTCGGATCAGAAGACCAGTGGCGACAAAGGTTGGACCACACTTCATCCGAAACCCATTTAGGCTTTTTCCTACTTTTTCGCGCACGTTAAAAAGTGGCGCGAAGCCAGGTCGAAATCCTAGCATTGTAGGCTTTAAGAATATCGGCACCGTTTGCGTGAGTCCAACGATAGCGAGCCTTTATTAAAACAAATTGGATTAATTAATCACCAGGTATATATTAGGCCAATACAATCAGGGAGGGAACATTCATTTATTTTTACCTTGAACAGATTCCACCATAGTTCGCGAACCTTGGGGTCAACATCCGACAGCGTGGCCCAAGTGCCAAGAAAGTGTCCTCCGATTATGCTTTTGATGCCTTTGAACACTTGTTCGTCACTTAAAAAAAATAATAGTATTTATTTATATAAGATTTGGTTAGATTATTTAACATTATATAAAATTATTGAAAATAAGGTTTTTTCATAACTACTTACAAAAGAACTTCTGCAGGCGTCACCCAAACAGCTCCATCGTTGTTGCGCTCCGCTTCGGACATGGGCGCATAGTTAGGGCGGGGAGCCGAGGTCGATTGTTCGTTGCTCATCTAAAATATATTGATTTATTTTGTTTTTTGTTAGAACGCTTATAATAAGAACATCAAATTGTTATGTAAGTATTATCAATTGTCAATGTATATAACATTTTAAAATGGGTATAAGTTTAATATTAGGGTCCAATAATTGCTAATAAACAAATACTATAATTATCAAGGAGTTGACACAGTCGACCGAAAAATCAACCGGTTGGAGCTTATCAATGAGTTGACCCAGTCGATTCATTGATAAACTCCATCCTGACGATTCTTCGGGCTACGACTTGAACCATGGATGGGCTACATCACATGTAGCGACATAATGTCAGTACATGCGCTTGGGAGAGTCCATCGATGGCTAAAGCCGTAGCCAGAAGAATCGACAGATTGGAGCTTATCTAAGAACTGACTAAGTCAACTCATTGACAAGCTCCAACTGATCGATTCTTCGATCGACTGGGTCAACTCATTGATAAATTATAGGATGAGCTTATGAGAAATTATTTAACCACTCATATTAAACTTATACACAGTTATTAAATTTATACAGGGAAAAATAACAAAAATACCCCAAACTTTGAAGGGATGTGACAAGAGCACCACAAACTATCATATGTAATTTAAATATCCCAAACTTAGTAAATAAGTTTGGGGTGTTTAAATTACTTATGCAAGTTTGAGGTGTGCTTACTTCACACCCTTTTAAAGTTTGGGGTATATTTATTATTTTTCACTATAAAAATTTATACAAGTATTATTAATTGAAAATGTGTATAGCATATTAAACTATTTTTAGTTTAATATGAGGGGTCCATATTTTTTCATAATAAGTTCTTAAATAATTTGGTAATAAATTGCACTTGGAGGTAACATGTTAAACTTTTTACAAAGTTTACATGAGAGGAGATCATTTTTTTATGTTTTCGATATATCAATTTATATGAGAGGCCATCTTTTTTTTATCAGTCATATCAGTTTATATGAGAGGCCATTTTTTTATCTGTTTTATACACATTTACAATTGTAAGTAACATGTTAAACTTTTTGCAAAGTTTACATGAGAGGCCATCTTTTTTTTTGTGTGTTTAAGATACATGAATTTTATACAATTTTTATAAACAGTTTTTCAAAAACAGTTTATAAAAAAGAGTTTTAATACACTTTTTAAATAAAAAACAGTTTTTATACAAACTGTTTCCTAGAAACAGTATACTTTTTTTTCAAAAACAGTTTATAAAAAAAAGTTTTTATACACTTTTTAAATAAAAAACAGTTTTTATACAAACTGTTTTTCTAGAAAAACAGTATAGTTTAAGTTTATACAAAAAACGTTTTTTATAATGTCTAAATAACAGTTTTATACTTTTTTAGTTAAATTACAAAAACAGATTATATAACACAGTTTTTATATAAACAGTTTTTATATAAACAGTTTTTAATTAAATTACAATAACAGTTTTTAAGTAAACTAAATTTTCATTCAAAACAGTTTTTAAAAAAACTGCAGTTTTTATAAAAACTGTTTTTACAAAATCTGTTTTTATATAAAACAGTTTTTAAGTAAACTAAATTTTCATTCAAAATTGTTTTTATAAAAACAGTTTTTACAAAACTGTTTTATTTATTAAACAGTTTTTATAAAAACTGTTTATTTACCATTTTGTATCCAATTTTTACTTTTTATATTTATAAAAACTGTTTATAAAAACTGTTTATAGAAACTGTTTATAAAAATTTGTAAAATTTTAAAAACTGTTTATAAAAACTGTTTATCGAAACTGTTTATAAAATAATTTGTATACTTTTTATAAAATTTGTTTATAAAAATTTGTAAAATTAGAATTAAACATGTTAAGTTTGTGAAAGCTTAACCATTGAGAGGCATGCATATCACACACTAATCATATATATTAAATATTATTAATCATGCATAAGAACATATATTACACATATAATAATTTAAATCATTTAAACATAATTATCATGCATACAAAACATATATATCATATCATGCATATGAAACATATAAACTAAAACAGTGTTTTGTCTAGTTTTTTTTGCTTATACTATTATAAATAATTTTTTTTGCTTATACTATTATAAAAACAGTTTTTTGTCTAGTTTTTTTCGGGATTAAATTTAAATGTTTAATACATATGTATAGAGAGGCATGCAAATCAAACACTAAACATATATGTTAAACATGATACTAATTGTATAAGCACGCATTAATTCGAAAATATGTTAATCATGCATATGAACATATATTAAACATAAAATAATCTACATTTGAACATATATTAATCATGCATACGAAACATATAAAATGAAATTAACATGCAAAACTACAAATCATGCATATAATAAATCATACATATAACTTTTGAAGATTACAAAATGATATGAAACTAAAAATCATGCATCTTATCATGCATTTGAGTATACAATCATGCATTTTTGGAATTTTAATCAAATATTACAAAATAAGATGAACAAACACATAACCTTGACTGAAGAAGGGCCGACGGAAGAAGGTGGACGAAGGCGGCCGGAGGACGACGGCGGACGGCTAGGCGTTGACGGCGGCAGCTAGGCGGCGACGGCGGACAGCTAGGCGGCGACGGCGGACAGCTAGGCGGCACTGTCTAAACTGGAAGAGAGGGAAGAGAGAAGGAAGAGGAAGTTAGGGTTTGGGAGCGTAGGTTTTTGAAAAAACGCCAAGGGTTTGTTTTATATAATTGTGTAGTCACGGTCATAGTCACGGTCCGGACCGTGACTAAACCCTTCGTAATTGACGATGTCAGTGCCGACGGTCAGAGCCGCCTTTAATCGGAATAGTCACGGTCAAAGCCGTGACTATGACCGTGACTATTTTCAAAATTTGAAAATAGTCACGGTCATAGTCACGGGTCTGACCGTGACTATTATTGTCAGCGCCGCTCTGACCGGCGGACTGACTTCGGCAGTTACGAAGGGTTTAGTCACGGTCCGGACCGTGACTATGACCGTGACTATTAAATTTATAAGTTCATTTTCCTGCGACCCAAGCATTTTATGCTAAAAATGACTAATAAAGAACCAATTGACTGAGATATGATGCGTACAAGAATGTGTCGTCTGAAACTATGTACATAGCTTATTGAATCGAAAAATGAATAAGGTGCTGTTCTGTTCGTCTTTGTGTTAGTTATTACTTATTGTTTATTCTTATTTTAGTCAAATCAGATCAGATCAGAAAATTTCAGACATGATTTATTATTAATAAGAATTATTATTATTATTAATATTATAAATAATGTTAATATAATTATTATTATTATTATTATTACTATTGTAATTATATGAATAATTATTAATACCATGGTAATTGTAGTGTGGACTATGGAGTATTAAATAAACTGCTTTGAATTTATGTGGTATAGAACAGATTAAGGAGTAATTATTTTACAAACAATATTGATGAAGGAAATTATCACATCTGCTTGGAGAAATTATATCACAAAATTGAAGTTACAACAGCACAATTACTCGCTGTCAGAATAGTCATTTTCTACATATACAGTTTCTTCTTTTGTATCTGAACCGTCTATCCATTCACCTTCTTCCTGATATTGAGCGTTTTGTAGTCACGGTCATAGTCACGGTCAGGACCCAAGCATTATTATTATTATTATTATTATTATTATTATTATTATTATTATTATTATTATTATTATTATTATTATTATTATTATTATTATTATTATTATTATTATTATTATTATTATTATTATTATTATTATTATTATTATTATTATTATTATTATTATTATTATTATTATTATTATTATTATTATTATTATTATTATTATTATTATTATTATTATTATTATTATTATTATTATTATTATTATTATTATTATTATTATTATTATTATTATTATTATTATTATTATTATTATTATTATTATTATTATTATTATTATTATTATTATTATTATTATTATTATTATTATTATTATTATATCGTTATAATAAAATTAATTGTGTTTATATTACTATTATAATATTATAAATAATGTTAATATAATTATTATTATTATGATTATTATTATTATTATTACTATTGTAATTATATGAATAATTATTAATACCATGGTAATTGTAGTGTGGACTGTGGAGTATTAAATAAACTGCTTTGAATTTATGTGGTATAGAACAGATTAAGGAGTAATTATTTTACAAACAATATTGATGAAGGAAATTATCACATCTGCTTGGAGAAATTATATCACAAAATTGAAGTTACAACAGCACAATTACTCGCTGTCAGAATCGTCATTTTCTACATATACAGTTTCTTCTTCAGTATCTGAACCGTCTATCCATTCACCTTCTTCCTGATATTGAGCGTTTTGTTGTGCTACATACATTTCCTCAATTTCGCGCTCAGATGGAATGGTTAGGTCCGGAAGGTGCGTTTCGGGCATGACTTCAACACGTCCGCCATTGGGATCACTTAATTGGACGTTATAGTTGATTGTCTCAACAATAGGCGGAGGTTGGAACAATTGTTGCTGAAAAGCATCTAGATCAACGTCCTTGTGTTGAGTTTGTGATTTAATTTTGTTCGGACGGACAGGACATGCACACACCCAAGGATTCAGGCTCCGCCTTGTTGAAGGATATTCTGCATAATAAATCTGCGCTGCTTGTTGGGCGAGTATGAAAGGCTCATTTTTTGGGTACACACGAGAGTGGTTGACGTCAATCATATTATACTTCGGATTTTTGCGCACGCCACGTGTGGGATCGACCCATGTGCAGCGGAACAGAACGCATGTCATCTTTTGCGCACCAGAAGGCATATCAAGTTCCAGAATCTCCTGCAGAACACCAAAAAAATTGGTTTCCGAGTTATCATAACCGATGGTCGGGACACATAACCCGTTGTTCGTTGTTGGTCGACCATGTCCGTAATCGGCTGTGTGATATGTGTAACCGTTTATCACATATTGCCGCCACACTTTGGCACTGGCACCAGGGCCCCACGCTAATGATACTAACAAAGGGTCGACAATCCCACGACTATTGATCTGTAAATATAAACATGATAATAACATTAGGTAAATATTGAAAAACTTACTTAATAATTAACTACAAATTTAATGTATAAGTATTACAATTATAACTACAAATTTAACTTACTGATAAAACGGTGAGATTTCTGGACAATTCATGAGGATATAAGTATGCGCAATTTGCAATTCCCCACCCAGGATGTATCGTTGTGTCGCAGCACCTTTACCTCTGCCTGGGTAATTGAAGATGGAAACTACATTTTCATATAAATCCTCGCCAATGTCATCGTTCCGGGCAGGTCTCTTCCTTCTGGTGATGACGTCACGCTCGAAGTAAAAAGACGAGAACGTTGAGATTTCTTGTTGAAGATACGCTTGACAAATTGAAGCCTCAACGTGTGCCTTGTTGGTCACTTTCTTTTTCAGCTCTCCTAGAAATCTGCAATAATGCAATAATACACATGTTAATAGTTATTGTGAAATAAATATTCTTTTTTTAAATGAAATTGTGACTAACCTTTCAAATCTGTACATCCACCGATAGAAGACGGGCCCAGCAGTCAAAGACTCATACGGAAGATGTATTATGAGATGTTCCATTGTATCGAAAAACGATGGTGGCATTATTTTTTCCAGATTACACATCAGAATGGGAACAGACTCTTGTAGTCTCCGGAGGGATGCCGCATCCAAAACGCTGGAACATATCGATTGAAACAACAAACTGATTTCAGTAATGCAGGACCATACGTGTTCAGGGAGCATCTCTTTTAGTGCAATTGGTAGAAGTCTTTGCATTATTACATGAGCATCGTGAGTTTTCATGCTCGTCGTCGTGGTAAGTTTGTTCATGTCTACGCATCTAGACAAGTTGGAGCAGTAGCCATCTGGAAACTTCTGAGACGCAAGCCATTTTAATATTGCTGCCTTTTGTGGTTCTGTGACCTGGTAGACTGCTTTTGGAACTTCCTTGCCCTGATATTCTAGATCAACAGAAAGTTCGGGTCTATCACACCAAATAGTCATATCTTTCCTAGCTGCAAGACCGTCTTTAGTTTTGCCTTTCAAATCCATCACCGTGTTAAATATATTGTCAAAGACGTTCTTCTCGGTGTGCATGACATATAAATTGTGACGGATGAGAAGGTCTTTCCAATAAGGCAACTCCCAGAATATGCTCCTCTTTGTCCACTTATGGGTATCACAATACCCATATGGCTCTTGGTTTGGCTCTTCCATAGCCGTAGGAAAACGTCGAACCCGGTTATAAATTTCTTCACCGGTCAATCTCGGGGGTGGGCTCTCTCGTACCGCTCTGCCTCTAATGAAAGACTTCTTGTCCTTTCGATATCGGTGCCTTTCCGGGAGAAACTTGCGGTGACAATCAAAGTAACTTCCTTTTTTGCTGTAACTGAGCCAGTTGGCACCTGATTTCTCCATGCATATCGGACATCCCATCAGACCGTGTGTGCTCCATCCCGAAAGCATGCCATAGGCAGGGAAGTCGCTAATGGTCCAAATGATGGCACCTTTCATGATAAACATTTTATCTGATGAAACATCATAAGTTGGTGTCCCAACGGCCCACAATTCTTTCATCTCCTCAATAAGGGGTTGAAGATAAATGTCTATCTTTCGCCCAGGATCCTTGGAACCCGGACAAATTAAAGACAAAAAGATGAAATGACATTTCATGCACATGTCGGGAGGGAGATTGTAAGGTGTTAACATGACCGGCCAACATGAATAGTTCTTGCCAAACCTGCCAAAAGGAGCAAATCCATCTGAGCACAATCCCAGCCGCACATTTCGTGGCTCCATAGCAAACTGAGGATGACAGCGGTCAAAGTGTCTCCAGGCTTCACAGTCCGAAAGGTGAGCCATCATACCCTCGTTGGTTTCGTGCTCAACATGCCATGTCATGTGTTTCGCAGTAGCAGTCGAAGCGTACATCCTTTGCAGTCGAGGAGCTATTGGGAGGTAATACAGTTTAGACAGTGCAGACCTATGTCGTGGTTTCTTTTTACCTTGACGAACAAGTTTGTATCTGTCTCCACCACAGAACTTGCAGAACTCAAGTGCCTCATCCTCCTTCCAGAACAACATACATCCTTCCGGGCACGCATCAATTTCAACACAAGGTAGCCCCAACTTAAACATTAACTGCTTCATGTGGTAATATGAATCGGGAAGGGTATGATCTCGCGGTAGCATCCCTCCTACTGACTGCAAGACTCTATTCATGCAAGTTTCAGGGAGACTGTATTCGGCTTTTATGTTCATGAACTCAGTAACAGCGGATAGCTGAGAGTATCCCTCACAATCAGCATACAGAGGTTGGTCGACAGCTTTTAGAACATCCTGAAATCTCTCAGCCAAACCTTCATCCACATAAGGTTGATAAAATGTCGGATTTTCATCCGCATCTGGTTGATACGAGGTTGAGGCTTCAGGGAGGTCGTTAGGTGGTTGTGGGGGGTTGAATTGAGACGGTACACCGTATGCGTCATATACCATTTGTTGGTCCCACCTCATTTCAGCACGGTCTCCCCACGCACTCATCTCTGGAGGGACGTAACGAGACGAACCTACCGTTTGTGGTATAACAGATGGATCCAAAGGTTCGCCGTGAGAAGTCTAATTATAATAATTGGGAACAAAACCGACCGCGTACAAATCATACCCAACTTCGTGTGGGTCTTTAAATTTGAGATTTTTACACTTTGAACATGGACATCTTATTTTATCACCACTCATATAAGCCGGATGTTCAAGTGCAAATTCAATAAATTCCCCGACTCCCTCGAGAAAATTTGATTGCATTCCGTACAATACCGCATCTTTATCATACATCCAACTTCTATTTTGTTTATACATTATGCCTGAATATTATAATAAAAAATTATATGAAATGCAATGCACACAATTTTAAGTAATTTATTTCACTAAATATAATCAACTAATTTTCACTTTTTTTAAATGAAATGCACAGAATTCACAACAATAATGCACAAAATATATGTCCCCTAATGCACAATAATGCAGATAATTTCACTAAATTAAACATACGTTTAATTAAATCTAACTAATTCATTTAGTTAAAATGAACTAAATTTAACTAGTTCATTCCGTCCCCTTTTAATGCATCACTACGTTTAAACCTACGTTTAGCTACCTAATTTAACTTAATTAACACATCAATAACTACGTTCAAACCTACGTTTAGCAAACGAATTTTAATTAAATTATTTTTGTAAACCTACGTTTAAACCTACACTAAATTATTACGTTAATGACATTTAATCTTATTAGTAATACACAATTAACAATTCACTAAATTAAATAATATGACCAAATTCAACCCAATAATTTGAACATGTATATAAAGTTATTTGAATTAATAAGCAATACACAATTCACAATAACAATTCACAATTCACTTAATTAACACATTACTAACGTACGTTATTTGAACTAATTTCACTAAACATAAACATCATTACGTTTTAAACCACATTTAGCTAACTAATTTTAATTAAATTATTTTAATTTATAAACCTAAAAGTTTAACTAATTCTAATTTATGACATTACTACGCTTATAGTTAAAACATGTTGTTAATTAATTAACAACCTCACTAATTTAATAGTTTTAATAATTTAAATTGAACCAACTAATTCTAAATAAAAATTATAATTCAAATAACATACCTTATCTGCATAAACAGGGAAAATGATAGAAGATAGACTACATCCTTCGATCTTTCAAACGGATACTGTATATACTGGGAATGAATTGGTGTGGTTCTGTTCAATGAGCTGCTCCTGCATATATAAAAAATTTAGTCACGGACTTAGTCACGGATTTGTCCGTCACTAAGCAAAACCGTGTCCAATACGCGTCCAACACGTGTTAATGACGTGTTAATGACGTGTTAATCAAAGTAGTCACGGAACTAGTCACGGATATGGCCGTGACTAAAATTATCCGTACATAATGCCATTGCGAATTAAGTTAAGGGAGTTGAAAAAATTAAATTTTAATTATAGTCACGGGTATAGTCACGGAGTTGGCCGTGACTAAGTCGTCGGAATCAAATAAACTACGCCGGAAACGGAAACGGGCCTATCGGAGGACTTAAGTCACGGGCCAAGACCGTGACTAATTGTAGTCACGGCCATAGTCACGGTCCAGACCGTGACTATTTTTTTTTTAAAATTTCCGTGACTAGTCCGTGACTAGACCGTGACTAAACTAGTCACGGACCAAATCCGTGACTAAAATCCGTGACTATAACGCTGTTTTTTTGTAGTGAATTCTTCAAAATGTTTTAGAGGCTTCCACACTCTTCCGCACGGTTTCAGTGAGTTCAACACTTTTATAGAAAACTTACCAATATTATTCTAGAACATTCAACACTTCTCTACACGCATATACAAAATCCTAGACATCTTTGAAAATTCTAAAATTCTCATGAATTTTTCCATTAAGGAGGGAATCCAACATAGTCTCGAGAATGTTTTTATCGTTAATCCTAATACTCTTTTGCATTATAACCACGAAATCAACCCGTGTGACATTAAAGGTCTAAAACAATCCACTCTTGGATTCAAATGAGTGACGTACGCTGCAGTCAATACGTACTTGTATTCCTAGACACATGTTTCCTAAAAGATTTTGCCTTTTATATTAATACTTAATCTAAAATTGTCTTTAATGAGTATTTATTTTTGAAAAAAAAGGAACATTGAATATATTATAAGTAGTAGTACTAATTATTTTGGCCCGAAGCGGGGGCGCTTGCCCCTGCATGCCCCCGCCCAGCTCGTACAAGAGTCTTGTACGAGGATCAAAATGAAATTTAGTGTCTTGGTCAATGCTTGATATATATTATCCTCCTGATTCAAATGACTCAGATTTAGTTTAATTTAGTGATCTTAGAAAACTTCATATATCTGAGTTTTGACCAGATGAGCAATCCTGAAAATTTATGTCATTTATATTTGAGATCACTCTTATGCATTATACCATCTCCCCTAGGGTGGCGGCCAATGTTTGATCCTCGTACATGCTTATTTTATGTGATTAATTAGACTTTTTTGGTAATTGATAATAAATCTTGAACAACGATTTAGTTATTATACTTGTATCAAATTTATAAAGTTTATGCTTGTATCAAATAATATTTCTATATAATTTCCATATTTTAAGTAATTTCGTATTAAACAATTTCATTGATCAATCTTGATCATTGATCAAAAAAGCAAATATGGTCAAGTTAAAGTTTTGTGAGGCGGAGGGACTATATGTATGTCTGTGAGAGAGAAACGTGATCCACACTATAATTACTCACTTATCTCATTTTTGCATGGTAAAATTTCATCTCAGTGATTTTCAAATTCATTTTGACCATTTGAGACTTTGAGTGTTGCATATGTGTGCAAGAATTTAGTTTTTCACTTCTGGATTAAATATAATTGCTTGGATTGGTATTTTGTTCCATACTTTGTTGGAGATGGCATTTATTTCATAATGTTCCTACCAAAGCACGGTTAACTAATGTATTTACAAAGCCACTTAATAGGGCCTCTTCATTTCGGTCTTTAATATGGACAAATTTATTAATTTGTATGAAATTGTAGGATTAAAAGTTGACACGATCAAAAGTTTTGGACATATACCTATAATTTTCTCTATACTTAAACTAAAATTTACTTATTAAATGATAGGATGAAGGGTATGATTACATTTTTATAGTGAACGAGTGTAAGTGATAATACATCAAACTTCATTTCCTTTCACGACAACCTTCCGTTTTTTCTATCTGCAAGAATTTCAACAACTAACCTCGCATCTGATCCCACCTGAAAACCAACGTAGCCAGCATCCATCGCCCAGGTAGTCGCCAGTCACCACTACTTTTTATGAAAAACTTTAAACATTTTTTAAAAGAGATGTCTGTGATGAGCATTTCATATACCACTCCATATAAGAAGTATTTAATCTTATACAGAGAACTAAATCATTTCAAAGCATGAAATATAATATCTACCAGCATGTACATAAGAAGAAAAGCATAATTTTTTGGAGATCAATTATTGGACAATAGAGTATGTCAGCACCTTGTGTTTTGTGCTGTGTTTCACTTCAATCACCTAAAGAAAGAACAAACCGTTGGCAGAATCAAGATTGTGTATAAAAATCAACTTCGACCGGCAACAAAAAGAATAAGGAAGACATGGTGGCTGTTTTCTTCGTCAGAAAAGTTAGGTGCAACGTAATCCAGATTCAATTTTAGAACTTCTAAAACTATTTTTTTTTATAATTCGAAACTTTAGTTAACAACCAGTAATCAAGAACTTTAATTGAAAATAAAAAATTAAGAACCTTAATCTAAAACCAAACCATGTCCATAAGGCACATGGGAAACCTGGAGTCCCTTTTATGCGGAAGCAAATTGGCTGCTTAATTTGGTCAGAACTATTTGTTTGAAAGAAAGAGTATTGATGGGTGCGTGGGAGGCTAAGGTGAGGATTTGGTTTCTTCAACCAGGTTTTTCCCCTGGGCAAACTATTCCATATTATTTGTTGGTGCTTTACTTAGAAAATCATAAGTTACCTTGAATAAATAGAGAAGCCTGGGATCATGATAACATTCTTGATTGAAAATGAAATCAAATAAGAGGAAAGGAAGAATTTGAAAAAAACATGACTATAGTGCTGTTATATAGAAGTATTCACCTTCATGGTAAGGATGACCTAATAAATGCCAAAAAAAATGTCTCAACTCACCATGGAACAGACATCCAAAATGACTTTAAAGCTTAAATATCTCAAGTGGTTTTGAACCTGCAATGTTATTAAAGCTTAAAAAACACTAACAGGGAACAAAGATCCAAAACGTGGATTTCTCCAGATTTGAGATGTCCTTTATTCTAAAGCCACTTCTTTCAAAGAAACATAAACATCAATATCTTTCAAGTGACTTACCCTTTACAAGATATGAAATAGAGGTGGGAAATGGATGATTAATAAAGCAGAAGAAAAAGGAGTCAAGATGAACACTCTTGGTGGGAGTGTGGGACAAATATAAACCATAAATAAAACTTAGATGCAAAGTAAAATAGTAAATATTCATTCTCTATATCCGAAGCAAATAAGGGTTAGTGAGCTACTTCTCTCAAGGCAGGGGCGTAGCCAGGACACTGGGCTAGACTGGGCCGGTACAAAGAATATTATTGGGAAAAAAATTACACGAAATTTTTTACACTAAAAATATTGACATTTTTCAAATTTAGGGTGGGCCAGGGCCTAGCCTGGGCACCCCCTAGCTCCGCCCCTGTCTCAAGGGGCTTAAACAAACATGACAAAATTGGTTTAAATTCAGTTCCAAACAGGGCTACTGTTTTCTAATGGGAAAAATGATCCAGTAAGGGTTATTTAAAGAAACTTTCAATGAAGGACTATTATAAGCATGCAGTCAAATTTAAATAGAATGATTTCATTAAAAAATATATTGTTCTTTAATATTAGTGTTTTGCCTTAAGATATACTCCCTCCGTCCCATCTTGGTTGTCCTACTTTCCTTTTTTGGTTGTTGTCTTGTTTCCTTTTTTGGCAAAAAATATGTGATCCTTATCATTTTACTTTATTTTACTCAAATCTCAACCACAACTTTTACTTTTCAACCACTTTATTAATAATCGTGCCAAATTGAAAGAGGACAATCAATATGAGACGGAGGTAGTATTAGGCAAGAATAGGCAGTTTTAGATTATCAGATTAGGCAAGCATTTAGCACTGACCTACGGCCTACGCAGTATATAATAAAA